TCTTGGGCACCGACGGCCTTGCGAGGTGTCGTAAGGAAGGGGGAGAGAGAGAGAGAGAGAGAGAGAGAGAGAGAGAGAGAGAGAAGAGAACAAAAAAAAAAAAAAATCAGCAAATCTAAAAAAGAGGGAAAAGGAAGAAGGAACAACAGCACTAAACTTGAAGCATTGGAATTGGTTTATCTCTTTGCTTGGAATTAATTCCATGTTTGGAAACAAAGAATGGTAAGACGGGAAACTACAATTTCAAGAAATTGTTGTTGTTTCCATTTGTATTGAAATGGGAAAAAAGATGGTAAATACCAAGGTTCTAAAATACGTAATATGTGACATTGCATTTCAGTCGAGCATCAAGCATTACAAGCATATGCATCCATATGCGTAATTATGCATTTTCCAATTTTTAATATTATTTCAAATATTCTAAACTAACAAATAAACAAAATAATGCATTCTTTGAACTTTATATATTCATTAATTTATTTTTTTAAAAAAATTATATTGCTCAAAATTTTAAATATTACAATTATTTGAACTTTATACATATTCTTCAAATTTTCAATAAAAACATATTGCTCAAAATTTGTTACAAAAACATATTGCTCAATATTTGTTTTAATATTTTATTTTTTAAAAGGTCAAAATCCTACATATTGTTGTATATAATTCATAGGCTTGGATGATTTGGGTTAATTCGATATTTTTTAGGCTCAATTTTCATTTTTTAAGTTATAAAAATGGGCTGGGCTTTGCTAGGCTAATTTTGGCACAATTTGTAACACAAATGCATGTGGAGTTTGGTGTTTAAGCGTGCATATCGTCAACGAAATGGGTTGACAGCATTATCACGTGCACACTCCATATGCGAGGCATTTCAAAAATGCATCAAGCATATGCGCGCATTTTAGAATACTCGTACATACATGAAATGGAAAAAAGGGTTTAAATTAATTAAGGAAGAAAGGAGAAATACGAACAAAAAATGGAATGATAAAGAATGAAATTCAATGGCATCACATGGGCCTTTTGAATTTATGGTGTAAATGCGATTTGCGATTAAGGATTGATATTATCAGAGCTTTATCCAACTCAGAAAGAAAGGGAAATGGAGAAGGATTAGAATTTGGATTTTTAGTAGCAATTGAGTTTTTATGCAGCTTTTGGAGATAGAGCCTTTTGATACTGGTGTCAAAGCCACATGAACAGGCTATTTTGCTTGACTCATTTTATAGAGCATGTAGTTATTATTTTGGGACAAATGTTCATTTTTTATTATCATTTTTGCATCACTTTTAAATAGCTAGGTGGTCTCGTATTCGTATGTATAGTTTATTTTGTTTAAATAGTATAATCTTTAAAATTCGATTGGTTTCTATTGCATTGTTATGTTGTGGCTATTGAAGGGGCCAATGATCTCATTTAGTTGTAAATATTGTTGTTGGGATAGGTTAAATTTTATTTCTAGTTGTTTAGTCCAAATTACATGGAAGATAATGACGAAAGTTTCTTAAAAATAAATCAAAATAAGTTGCATAATTAGTAGCGTTGATGGTGGATCGGACCTCTAGTTAGTATCCATCATCAGCCAACGTCATATTTCAGGTCCATGAGTGTCATCCGGAGTGGCTCGTGTCACTACCCACATCCACCATTGGTGCACTGGCAGCAGCAACACGCTTTCGGCAAATCCAGTTCCTCCACCAGCTGCTCGGGAGGTAGCAATTCGCAGTGCTTTTCATGTGGTGCTTGCAGCCATCATCAGGCAGCTTGACCGAATTGAAAAGCTAAAATATTTCTAGTTGGATGAAGGTGAGGAGATTGGTTAGGTGGTGCTCCTATTTTTTATGTCTAGGTGGAAGAAGATGTTCCATTAGAATTGCTTGGGTGTAATGTTGGTCCGGCCTTGGCCGTGAGATACTCGGGTGATGAGGACAATTAGCTGTACATCCCCCATCTTTTAGTTGTCAAGGGAAAGGCTATAGGATTATAAGTCATGATCTAAAAAGTGATTGTCCCACAAAAGGCAAAACGTACATGAAAAAGGGGGGAATATATTGGCTTGCACCGTCAAGAGAAAATTTTCTATTTCATTATTGACTAGGGGAGTTGTGAGAATGTTGTGTCTACCGAGGTTTTCAAGATGTTAGAGGGCAAACTGTACATGAAAAAGGGGGAATATATTGGCTTGCACTGTCAAGAGAAAATTTTCTATTTTATTATTGACTAGGGAAGTTGTGAGAACATTGTGTCTACCGAGGATGTGAAGATGTTAAAGCTACAACCACAACCTCACCCGAAACCATAACGCGTTGCTTGGTTTGATCGAGGTAACAAATTTACTGTTGACTGTCGTGTCATAATTTCTTTATTGATTGGCAGTAATTATTCAGATCATGTGTGGTGGGATGTGTTTTCCTAGGACACATATCATTTTTTGCTGGGTGTCCATGGAAATCTGATAGACCACCAGAGAAGGATTACCTTTAACGTGTAATATGTAATGTATTTTTTAGTAG